AAATGCGATCACCAAGACAGCGGCCAGTCTCGCCCACATACAAAAGATTACAGCGGGTACATTTAATACAATATACAACATTAGAAGTGGTACAAACAAAATGGTCAGTGATTTTAACAGTTGATTTAGGACCGACAACAGAAGTGTGAGAGGCTATGTGAGGACAAGTACATATTTATTTAGTGCAACATTCCGTGGGCATGCAAAGAAGAGAGGGGGATGAGTGGTGCATGGCATAGTTTAATTTGTATAGGAAATGCTAACATTTGAGAAAAATTGGTAGGGACCTTTAATTACAGCCATTCTCAATCACGTGCGCCCGCTAGTGATTGTTTCTGTCGTGACGAAGAAGGTTTTGGTGGATGTCAATCACAAGGCATTTTCATAACATTATCGGAAAAAACAAAGCTATAAGGGCACATGCCTAGAGAATGTCATGGGAACATCTTGATTGACGTCCACCAAAAGCTTCTTTGTCGCGACAGAAACAATCGTTAGAGCGGCATGTGTGATTGAGAATGGCTGTAAGCACCAGGACGGGACGATGAGGATGGAGATGTCAAATCCAAGAAAGGACTAAGTCGAGAAAGCTTTCGGTCCTTATGAGGCATAGAACTATAAGCAAGATAACAGTTGGTTAGTATGCCAGGCATGATGACAGGATAAAATTAGTTTTAGTGCAGTCATACATCATTTCTGGCTTAACGGCATTGCAAAATCAAGGAAAGCGTAGGAAAGCGAGGAAAGCAAGGAAACCAAAAATATATAATATACTTATTAATATAAATATAACATAAATGTGAAACTGTACCTAGTGGATGATTGTCAAGACATTGATTACACAGACAATTACACAGACTTTTACATCCCATGCAGTAAGCTTATTCTTTATTGAGTATTAARCAGTTAGGCAAGGCTGTGACTTGAATATAAATATACTGTAGTTCAAATATAGCCCCGTAGGCCTAGGCTTGCAATAAGGAATTGTATGGAAATTTCTTTTGTAGCTGTTGGTCGCCTTCACGGAAAGATAAGAATTAAGTAAAAGTCTCGTAAAGAAATGAAACTGTTTTGTGACACCACATTGAATCACACGGGAAGCCCGACGAAGCAACACTTTGGAATGCAGCTCAATCTGGGGGACAAAACAAAAGAATTTCAATCTACTGAGAATTGGAACCTATTCTTTTGTCCCCCAGATTAAAATATACTTTGTTTTTTGGCTTCCGGTGGTCAGAAAGATTCAAGCTTCACATGATATACACTTCATCACGATCTGAGTTACCATAACAACTCAACTATGGCATCATGACTTTTTTATGCATCTTTTTTTGGGTAAAATCAGATGTTTGTTCAAAAAACAGTAACATATCAACATTTGCATATTGATATTTCAAATGTTTATATATCTGAAAAGAGAAGACCACATACAAAAATACTGCAACCATTGTACTACACTGTTCACATGTAAGTGATTTTAAAAATAATTTTTTTCCCTTGATATACAGTTAAATACGGAATTGTCAAACCATTCAACACAAATATAACTTATTTAGCAGTAGTAAAGCTTTATAAAACATTTGTAAGGCATTTTAGTTCAGTTTTATCTTTCAAAACAAATCAAAACAAGTAAAATCAAAACAAGTCAGTCATGACTGGCTCCTAAAATATTCGTATATGACTTTTAATCGGCTTCCAACTTATAACAAAAAACTTCTAATCTTTTGTTTAAAAGCTCTCAAATTTTTCATGTTTACATGTAACTTGCCAAAACAAAATCCTTTGGTGGRAGATGGAGAGTCAACTGGATATGATGCCATTACTCTCAGACTTTGTTATATTGGGAAATCAAAATGGATAGCAGTTATTTATAAGTAATATGTTTCACTCATGATATATGATGCACTATAGGTTTCTTGAAAAAACATTCCTTTGATACCTCTGTTGTTAAAATTATGTTTTGACAACATAACGAATGTGAACAGCAAGTTGTAAAATGGGCACATGAGTTTMGTCGCCCAGACCCAATAAAGTGTCAGGAGTTAGTTGAACTGATTTTGATCACCTATAAACTTCTTYTCAAATTATTATGATGGGATATCTCTGAATAAAGTCAGATGCATATTTCATGAAAGCGGATRTTGGCTAATTCCATTTTAATATACCTCAGTCAACAGTCATAGTTCATAAGAACACTACTTCGTTGTACTGTCGTGTCACATTGTTTTATTATTTGAGATGTCTTGAGAGGCAAATCACAGAGAGAGGAAATCATTAACTTCTATTAGTGATACCAGGCATTTTTAGACATGGTTTTTGTAGTGGCGTCACAAACCTAAGCAATCTAAGACTGTTGTCCTCTTAACAATGGGATATATACTTGTTCAAAATGTYGGTGCCTCCTACTTGGGAGTGAGGTGATGGCTTATGAGTATGGTAATCATTGATTTTAATCGTTTTTTAATAAGTTAAAAAGTGATTTGGTTAAGGTAGTACCGGATCTTCAAAATTCTTCTATGAATTTTTTTWAAATTCTGTCATTTGAAGTTTATTGTTAGGGCATTCATATAATGAAAAAAATCGAGATATGAGGCGTCAAAAAGGTGTGATTCTTCAGTTTTCCACACGTTTTTGCCAAAAATCTGTCCCCACTAATAAAGGATTTAACAAAGAAAAACAGAAAACTGTTTTAAACGATAGTTGTTGAATCTAGGAAACATACCTTGATAAAAAATCCATCCAATCTTTTGAAAGTTCTAAATTCTAGAAGCGAAATTGCTTGCAATTCGGCACAGTTATATGCGTGTGTAGTTGAAAATGTTGAAAATTTATGACAATTTAAAAAAAAAAAATTGGGGGACACCGTACTAACAGACGAGCTATTAGTGACTAAATCCAAGTTTTTGGTCAAAAAACAAATCCTGTCCGCACGGGACTGGGTTATAGTACATTAACCTCTGTCTGAAACGTGTCAAATCGTCTTTCTAATCTCCAGAGACGTATTTCAAATTGATTTTGAGAATAACATGTCAAATTCATTTTTTGTTACTYCATTTTTATAAAGTTATGAATTTGTTGTTTTGAATCAAGAGTGACCAAGTCAGGCAATGAACATCTAAGAATGTTTTGAAAACATTTCATTTTTGCCTAGATATGTAGATTCATATTGCTTAGATATGTAGCCCTATGTAGATATGTAGATATGTAGATATGTAGATATGTAGCTATGTAGATATGTAGTCTGTATCGTTGTATAGCTTTGTCATTGTTTATCGCCTGTATCGTTGTATGTGTGGCCGTGTGGTGTATATTAATTAGCTGATCCTTTGGACCGGGGGACTACATTGGATTTTGGATTGCTTAGATATGTAGCCCTATGGCATGTTGTGTATTGCAATACGGGCAACAATACAGCAAAAGTTGGGTCCTAAAACGCGACAGGGATAAAAAAAAGTTACGGTTTGTGTCAACAAAGGCGCATCCACTCAGTCAGAAACATTTTTGCGTTTTTCTCGGAAGTGATTTTGCGTTCAGTTACCTGTACACGTTGAGTCCGATGTCAAACGGAATTTGACGGATTTAACTGACATTTTGAGGAAGTCATCTTGGAAAGTTGTTCTTCAAAAGTGTGTCTCCGACTTTTGATTTTTTGTTTATTTCCAAAGTTATCGTGGATCTTGGCTTGCATACTGGTGATATGGCAGCGTCATAACTAATCAAAAATTGGAGACACACTTTTGACAAGTGATGTCTTGTGATCTCGGAAAGGTAATAAGCATTGGTTTTTGATCATTACCGGCTCTGTCATCGAACTGTGCGAAGATGCCACAGTGAAAATTTGAATAATTTGCTCTAACTTAAAAGGATAAACATATTTTACAAAAAGGAAAAAAGGAATAGTTTCTACATTTATTCAGCTTTCAGAAAATGTATACTTTGTTAAGGTTTCGATTAAAAGGTTTTGTGCTATTAAGAGTTGAATGCACAATATGGTCGCTAGGGGTACCCTGATACCTTAAGTAATGAACACCGGGCAACTGAACCATGCATTGCAGGCAAGCAAACCAATGACTCTGAGCAACTTCAGGGACTGAATTCACAGGTGGCATACTCTGGTAAAAGATTAAACTTATATATTTCTCTCATAATAATCTTTTGATTTATATGCATAATGAATAATCTTTTCCATTTTAACTGATACTGTGTCATAAGTAAATGGTTATTGAAAACGTGAATCATTATTTTTGAAATCAATTAATTGAATTTATTTTCATTTCTCAGAAACCCTAGTGAAATGGTAACTTTAAGGGCCCATATTTTATCKGGGAGTAGGGGAGGGGTGGTGGAATTTGCCTGGTAACCCATACAAAAAATCGAAGTTCATCCCTCTCTGTTGTTGCATCAAAATATGTCCCCTTCATTTTCCATCTAATTTCTGAAAGAATCTAATACGTTTACCACTCCTGGGTGGACGGCTTAATGCCTAACAGGCTTTGCGACCCAATCGACAAGGCAGCCGGTAGATCGAATTAGAATTTAGAAGTTGATTTTTGAGGAGGGAGGAAAAACCAGAGAACGGAGAGAAAAAACCCTCAAAGCACAAATTAATTACAGCTTAGCTCGCTCATAGAGTTGTGCTTTTTGATCTTTTGCCAAAGATTTCAATTGTCTTTACTTAAAATGGTATAACTCAATAACTCAATAATCCAACAATTTTATTTCACTACAAAATCAATTATTTTATACTGATAATCAATTTACATAGCTTTTTACTACTCAGTCTGGGTTATTGTTGATATTTTATCAGTTAGATGATATTTAAAGATGATGTTAAATTGATAATTAGTTTTCTCTGATTCGTAAAATGTTTTTTCTAGGCGTTTGGGTTGGGATGCTACGACTTTTATTCGTGAAATGATGGCTAATGTAAATTGAAATACATATTATTCGAATAATGCCTGATTAATGCCAAATCTTTAACTTCTAATTAGTTTATCGTCAAGAGAACAAGGGAAGAATACAGAACTGGAAAAACAAGAGGGTATGAATTTCGTAAAAGTCAACTTAAACAGCTTCTTCTCTTGATTGATAACCATGAAGATGAAATCATTGAAGCCCTGCATAAAGACTTGCATAAGGTATTTTTTGATCTCTTTATCCTTCCCTCCCTTCCTCCTAACTCTTTTCCTGCTCTCTCCATCAAATTCTATCTTTTTCTCTCTTTCATTTTTCTCAGGGGGGACCTTAAAGGACAAAACCATTTTGTGCTTCCCCCTAGTCTGGTATGCAGCTGCTGGTAGTGATGTCAGAAAGCTTTGTGTGATGACACCTAAACAGTGGCTGCATAGGAGACTACATTCTCCATCTCTTTACTGTTAATAAAAGAATAACCAATGCTCCATTATTTTTAAAATTTGAAGGTACAAATGATATACTCATTAGACTAGTAATCTAAGTGATAGGATTTATTGCTTGCTACCAGTCTCTTGATCTTCTCATTGATTAAAATGCTTAATGTTTGTAATCTACATTGTGATTGGCCAACTCTTAGTCTCTATAAACATATGGTCCCAGTTAGTGTATCCTCACTGTAATGGAACCGCTTCTTTTATAGCCCAGAAATGAGGCAGTAATTGCAGAGATCATGTTGGTCAAGAATGATGCTATTGCAGGTAGGTCAATCTGCGTTTAGGCTCATGTTAGATTTCTTCTTATTTAACTATCTTTGCTTGAATGAGAATATGTGAATCGCGTAGCACTTATGAAATACAAGATATAGAAATATAGATAAGTTATAGTGCTTGGGAACGAGGTTATTCCGGGCAAAAGATCCTTGGAAATAAATTCGGAAAAATTAATTTCCACCCTTGCTGGGAATTGAATCCACGACCTTCGGAATTGTGCTACTGATGCTCTATCAGCTGAGCTAGAGGTCAGACTGAGAGCATACCGGGGTGAAATAGATGTTTGGTCGCGGTAATTTTGATGCAAAGATGAGAATATGTGGACCGCGTAGCACTTATGAAATACAAGATATAGATAAGTTATAGTGCTTGGGAACGAGGTTATTCCAGGCAAAAGACCCTTGGAAATAAATTCGGAAAAATTAATTTCCGACCTCACTGGGAATTGAACCCACGACCTTTGGAATTGTACTACAGATGCTCTACCAGCTGAGCTAGAAATAGATGTTTGGTCGCATAATAAGTCGAATAATTCTCATCTTTGCATCATAATTACMGCGACCTAACATCTATTTTAATAAAAGTTTTTAATAAGGAAAATTCTACTCTTTCATGATTAGATGAAAAATTCTCAACTATTTTTGTCCAAGATTGTAGCTGATACTAATATTGGTCTCCTTGCTGGCTAATACTGGATACTTTCATAAAAAGTTTTAATTGATGGAAACACTTGGCTTTTTTTCTAATTCCTAGAGGAAACGTTTTAGGGAAAAATAATACATTACTTAAAGCCCTTTGTGACAATCTGCTATTGTGATTCCCATGTTTACACAATACAATTAGTGGAAGGTTCAACTGACTTATCACATGACAGTCATTAATAATAAGCAATTATTGAATGAGGTTGAGCATGATATCGTAAATTATCAAGACTGAGGCTGTGTTATCTGCCGTAGCCGAAGGCTGAGGCAGATAACACAGTCGAAGTCTTGATAATTTGCGATATTATGCGATAACTGAATTCAATAATTGCTTTATTATACATTTTGTATACTGGAAAAAAATTAACATGAACTTTAAATTAAAGGGACAAGAATTATGAACGCCATGATGTCGTGTGAAAAACGCAAAATTCTTAATTCAGAAATATTTCGAGAATTCTTCATAAAATATATGAAAATAAGTTAAGGATTCCTTAAATTATTGTTTTTGTACATAATTCTGGAAATAAATACACATAATGAATAAAAACAAAGCTACCACAGTGTGACCTTGAATGAACTTGACATGATAAATGTATTATCTGTAGGAAAACCTACAGATAATACATTTATCATGTCGAGTTCACATGATATCAGGGGTTTGCTGAGGGCTCTCGACCATCAGAATTGAGATACTTGGTAAAATGTATAATAATGTCTATAGATGCATGCTCTAGTTCATTGGTTACCATGTTGCCATTCATTGTTGCTGTACAAAATTAGGCACACCTGATAACAGTAAAAAAGTGTTGGTTAAATACAAAAAAATGGTGGCTTGCATTTTTAACCTTATTTCAAAATTGTTTGCAATTAGTTTTTTGATTTGGGTTGCAACTCTAAATGTTAATTAAAGCAGACTAGTATATAAGGGTCGTAAGTTATTAAATAGCACCTGAGATTAATGCATGTATATGTATGTCACCCACTTTAAATAAAGTTCATTGTCTTGTATTAACAATTAAATATTATCATATAATACAGCCCTCAACAATCTTAAACAATGGATGAAACCAGAGCTTGTTGACACAAGTTTAATCAACAAGATGGACAATTGCTTCATCCTTAATGAGCCCTTGGGTGTTGCCTTAATTATTAGTGCTTGGAATTACCCAGTCCAGGTGTTACTGTTACCTCTTGTTGGAGCAATTGCTGCAGGTATTATTTGCTTTATGATATTTGCCATACCCACGTTCAGGGGGTCAGAATGCCCTTTGTTTCCAATAATATTCTGACTTGTACTTCYATAATAACTGTTAACATGAAATGAAAATGCACCAATTTGGCTTGGGCCTAATACACRTATCCTGACTTTGCTTGAGTGACCACCAAACAATGAGTTGTCAGTTTCCAATGGAATATAGAATGGCAGACAAAWAAAGCTCAAATTCAGAAGGTTTTTCCATTATTGATGGTTTTATTAGTGTACCCTATAATGCATTTATTCTAAGACAGACATTTATAATCAGTGTTTGTTCCATGCTGTATATCAAAAGCACATTTTAGCTTGTCCGACATAGCAACAGCAACTAGGGATGTAGATCAATGAATTCAGGATCAATGAATTCAGGATCAGTGAATTAAGACAAGGTGTTGGATTGTTTAGTTCAAACCATCTCAAGATGAACCTTTTCAATCAAATGTTTGAAAAATACTCATTACAAGCGATTAATCRACTTGAATGTGTCTAATTTTACCTTTAGTTAGTGTAGCTTCTTTGACAAGCCTAAGTTTCTTTTTGCATTTAACTTTGAAGGAAATTGTGCTGTTTTGAAACCATCAGAGATAGCTTCTGCAACAGCTGAACTCATAGAGAGGCTGATCCCAAGATACCTGGATAAGGTAAACTGGATTCTTTCATATAAAGCTGGATCTATGGTTAAAATTTGGAATCAATGTTGTTAACAATCCACTTGACAGGTTCAATTCCCTTGAGTTTCAGAAAAAAAAACAACCTACCAGCATCCTACCAACATCCCACCAACATCCTACCAACATCCTACCGACTTCCTACCAACATCCTACCAACATAGTTCCAACATCCTACCAACATAGTTCCAACATCCTACCAACATCCTACCAACATAGTTCCAACATCCTACCAACATCCTACCAACATCCAACCAACATCCTACCAACATCCCACCAACATCCTACCAACATCTTACCAACTTCCTACCAACATCCTACCAACATAGTTCCAACATCCCACCAACATCTTACCAACATCTTACCAACATCCTACCAACATCCTACCAACATATTACCAACATCCTAYCAACATCCTATCAACATCCTACCAACATCCCACCAATATACTACCAACATCCTACCAACATCCTACCAACATCCCACCAACATCCTACCAACATACTTCCAACATCTTACCAACATCCTACCAACTTCCTACCAACAACCATTTTGGGGCATATTGTTTATTATAATTACCATTCTTTAATATACAAACTTGCACGACTGGATTTTCATTTGAATAGATATACTTATAAGAAATCTCTACATATCAAGTCATTATATTAATGATTTTTGATTTACTCATAAAAAGTCATATTAATAATTTTAGTGCAAAAATTAACTTTGCTTCAGGGTTGTTATCCCGTGGTGAACGGAGGTGTTAAGGAGACCCAAGAACTACTCAAACAAAAATTTGATAAGATATTCTATACAGGAGGGGGTGCTGTTGGAAAACTTGTCATGGAGGCTGCAGCAAAGAACTTAACTAGAGTCACTTTGGAACTTGGAGGGAAAAGGTTAGTTGTGATTCTGCKGTTTCTGGGCAAGGGGATGCAAGACATTAACTAAATTTATTTCTTCCCATCCATACATCTATCCATTTATTCTATCCATCTATCCATACATTTCTCTGCTCCTCCAGCCATTCATTTTTCCTCTCACCATCCATTCTTCCATCCACCATATTTATTCTTCCATCCACCATCCACTCTTCCTCTCACCATCCATTCTTCCATTCTTCCATCTACCATCCATTCTTCCATTAACCATCCATTCGTCTATTCACCATCCATTCTTTCATCTACCATCCATTCTTCCATCCATGTTACGCCAAAAAATGTAATAACTCGCACAAAATGTAATACTGACACAAAATGTAATAAAAATTGACACAAAATTTAATACTGACACAAAATGTAATAAAAACTGACACGAAATGTAATAAAGTTGCTAACACAAAATGTACTTAAATTTAACACAAAATGTAATAACTTTATTAATGCAAAATGTAATAAACTCAAAAACCAAAGATCTGAGCAGGAATCAACATCCTACAATAAGGTCATGAATGGCGTCACTCTTTCAGYTCCATACTTTTTCAGTCTATGTAATCATTTTCTTTTCTTTTTGAGATAAAAATTAAGAGACAAACCCATTTCGAGTATACGGTATGTCCAATAATGAAACTAGAATGTGTTTAAAACAAAGTTGCTTAATAGCACATTCAAGATTCAAGATTCAGCATTCAATTTTTTGCTGAYTTTTTAAAAATAGGTATGTATAGAGTGAAATGGCAATCTTGTCTAATCAAATCAATAAAAACTATACGAAGTGGTTTTTATRAACCCACGGGAAAAGTCTGTATTGATTTTATCAATGTAATGTGGAAAGCGTTTTCGATTGCTTTTTGAGGGGGGCATAAGGGGGATTTGAAAAACGCACAAACAAATCTTTAAAAATTCGTAAAATTAAAGCGCAATACAATCTGACAAAAAACTTGCAACTGCAAATGACAACATCACCTTATAAGACCTTATAAGGGACCTTATAATGCTTATTTATTGCTATTATCTATTATTTAAATTCATTTTTATGATTATTGGATGTCATAGTTGACATATATTAAGTTTTTAAAATAAAAGTTTTAAATTTGTTTCTTTAATACATTTTGTGTCAAAATTCATTACATTTTGTGTTAATAAAGTTATTGCATTTTGTGTCAAATTTTATTGCATTTTGTGTCAGTATTATATTTTGTGCGAGTTATTACATTTTGCGGCGTAACAATCCTACCATCCATTCATCCATCCACCATCCATTCTTCCATTCCCCATCCATTYATTGTTGCTTTAGGAGAAAAATTGGAAACAAAAGTTTGGGATGTTGAACGTCATTCTCAACAAGATTTATGCAAAAGATGCACATAACTTATTCTCTATGTAAATGYGGAGTAATTGATAATAAATTTTGTTGAGATTGACGAGATGAGGTAGTCAAAATTCCAAGAATACTTTTGTCTTAATTTTGCTTTCAAATTGTTTTGTTTCTTTTTCTTATCAAAGTCCATGCTWYATTGATGAGGACAGTGATTTATCAACRGTTGCCAATAGATTAGCATGGGGAAAGTTTTGCAATGCTGGTCAGGTAAAAAAGCTAGTGAATAAGTTTTTATTTTATACATACTGAGATTTTCTTATCAAATTTCCCTGTGTGGATAACAAGTTCACGACTTTTTTTAGCCAATCAGAGAGGCRGAATGATTTGTCACACGTGAAAAAAGCGTTTAGTCCAATCGCAAACCACTGTCGAGGCGGATCCTGTTTTCGCGGTCATTGCGGGTAGCTTTGTCGAGCAGCTTTCAAAATATATTAATTCAGTGTATTCAAGTTGTTCGTAGTTCAAATTAAACTTATCTAATCAAGAGCTAGGAGATATTTGTGAGGATGGCTGAACAATCAAGAAGATTTGTGTCTCTAGACAAACCTATAGACAAGTTTATTGAAGAACAAAAAAAACAGAAACACTCTTTCGAAGACACGAAGAGTTGTAAGTTTGCCTACTGAGTTTCTCAACTCCAAAAATGAAACGAGAAGAGTCGAAGAAATCCCGCCTTAATGGATATATCAGTTAATTACAGTACTATCTCAAACGAACAACAGAAAAACATGTCTTTGATTCTGAGTGGAAATGCTACAAGTACGTCTATGGAAAAAAGGCCAGTGTTGAGTTTACAAAGTGCAGTGGGCACTGAGTGCCGTGAATCTTCATTCATGAAAAGTTCTAGTTTCCCTGCATCAGGCCCATTCACTGGAGCGGTCTTTCACAGAGGACAGTTTAACATAACAATAAACACTTAAACAAGTCGCCAACTTCCACCGATAACTCATTCAAGTCAACAGAGTCAACACGTAACTTCATGACGCATCAAGCATGTGTTTGAACCACCAGACGAAGACAAGCCCTCCGCTTTGACAAACTAAGTTAAGCCTTCATTGACCTACCCATTTCAGTTGCTTATTTCGTTATTTTTAAACGAACAATTTCATATTTAGTTTAGAATTTAAACGCTTTGCTATGTACTTTGTACCAGATATGCTATTTGATTCGAATAGTGATATTTTTACATGTAGCTTTTAAGCTTTTAGCTTTTCGAAGAGAATACTTAAAGTACAGGAGTTTTGTATTTTTTTWTAGAGAATTTAAGGTGAATAAATAAAAACAACAAAATCTCAGTATGTATAAAATAAATAAATTACAGCATGGAAAGTGCACGCGTACAGGATTTTCCCACTTGTTGGTTTTGTATCTGAAATTAAACAAGTGAGCGCAGCGAATACGGGAGTTTTGTATTTCTTTTAGAGAATTTAAGGTGAATAAATAAAAACAACAAAATCTCAGTATGCATAAAATAACAGCATGGAAAACGTGCGCGTACAGGATTTTCCCACTTGTTGGTTTTGTATCTAAAATCTCACTYGTTCGCTGTGCTCACTTGTTCAATTTCAGATACTGAAGTAATCTCTGTCAGGCATGATGAGGTATCATTCTGTAAAAATAAAACCCAATATAGGTTTTCTATGGGACTTTGCACAGTTATCATTCCTGCCAGAGATGAAACAAAAAATGGGTCACCATATTTCTTTATATTCCGGGGGAGGGGGTACTCCACCAGGATTTGGGTAGGGGTGTTCAGCTGGGATTCTGAAAGGGATACCCTGTTTATGACAAAAAATCTCAAATTTGTAGACCCTGTTTATGATAAAAGATATAATTAATTGCACTGAGTTCCTGTTTCAATTATCATGTCAGCTGGCGTATTGTTTTTTTTTTGACAACCATATAAATAACCAGTTTCGGTCAATATGAAAGTTGAAACCCTGAATATGACAGGAAACTCAGGAAAACTTGGAACTTGAGTGAAATTGCATACCCTGTTTATGACAAGAAGCTCGAAAAACCATACCCTGTTAAGCGAAAYSRTGTCAAACTTTGGCGTTTAGTGTGGCGTTTGAGAGTGATATTCTAAACATTGAAGTTGAAACAAAGTATGTATCAAGAAATCAAAAAAATGAGCTTATTAGGGGGACTTACTGTAGAGGACTTATTGTTCTATTGTGTTATTAACYGCCTTTAGCAAATTGTTTGATTAAGTCAATAAGATAAATAARTTGCCACAGCTAATATTTCATCTGAATTGTTTTTCTTACTTTGTAGACATGTGTTGCTCCTGATTATGTTCTGTGCAATCCTGGAATACAAAGTAAATTGATCAAAYATCTCAAAGAAACTCTTTATGAATTTTATGGAGAGGTAAATATGTAATTGAATTTTTTACTGGACTGGAAGCTGTAGATCATGAAAGCAGCCATCTTAGAAACAGGAGGCATAGCCAAGCACAGAGAAATAAGCAGGCACCCTTTCTATTGCATTCTTATTCACATGTGTAATTGGTCTCAAATTGTCGTGGTGTTATGGAGCTGCCTCATTTTCATATTTTCATATTACTTTATGATCTATYTTGTATGATTAATTTATCTGTCAGTAGTAGTTTCAATCTAAGGTTAAAGGTTCTATTTTAGTAAGTAATGAAATACTTTTCTCTTCCTTTCTTTACGCACAAGCATGATGCATACAAAAACTAACAACCTTGTACTAATGCAAATATACAAGCAGCGGACTAATGAGGTTTAAAATAAATGAAACCGGTTTCCACAAGAGTTGTGACTTAGTGCATAAAAGACTGAACAAAAAGGTATACATTTGAAACCTGAAGATGACATTAAATGAATCTTTCAAGGTCTCAATTCAAAATATTTCAAATTAAATAGTTGTTGTAATTCAAAGTGAGTATCAATTATAGTGTGTTTTTTTTCTGTATATATAGGACCCAAAAGAGTCACAAGATTATGGAAGAATTGTTAATGATAAGCATTTTAAGTAAGTAATATGACAGTGAGATTAATTATGCTTCAGTTTGATTTTGCCTTTCTAAAGTTCATGCTGAATGAATGTGGGGGTTGTATCTGAGACTGGTCACAACCTTGTGTTCATAGTAATGTGATGCTGGATGTGGGGGACAACCTGAGACTGGTAACAACCTTGGGGTTCATAGTAATGTGGCGCTGAATATGGGGGTTGTATCTAAGACTGTTAACAACCTTGTGGTTCATAGTAATGCGGTGCTGAATGTGGGGGTTGTATCTGAGACTGGTAACAGCCTTGTGGTTCATAGTAATGTGGTGCTGAATGTGGGGGTTGTATCTGAGACTGGTAACAACCTTGTGGTTCATAGTAATGTGATGCTGGATGTGGGGGACAACCTGAGACTGGTAACAACCTTGTGGTT